ATTTAATCTATTTGATATTTGAATCTGTTGGGGCCTTATATGAATGATCTGAAAGGCCGGAAATAATAACTTCTAAGATCATCCAAAAACTGCTGAGGTAACCAATTATTAATCTTTATTTCATCAAAAATTAACCCTCTAGTCGAAATACCGAAGCCTGATTAGTTATTTCAGAATTTGCAAGACTGGACTTCAAATTCACTCGGTAGAAGGCATATATCACTTTATAAATAAAATTTTCCTAATGAAAGATGGTATACTGATCATAATTTTGTTGACAAATATATTTATATGAATCAATAAAAAAGAAATATTGAACATTTCAGGTGAACTGCTTAAGTGCTAGTCAATGGTAGGTAAAGGTGTCATAAAGGTGTCAACACATATCTATGGTTATATTGATATAAGTATGCTTCTTGGAAATCATTCTAAGGTATGTGTGTTGGCTGTTTATGATATATATATATATATATATATATATATATATATATATATATATATATATATATATCCTTTTTGTAGGAAAATGTGTACGTCCTTTAATATTTTTAATCAAAAATTAACTTTAAGTGAAAAGTATATAGACGACTATAAAGTAGTAGGAAGCTCTTTTGCGCTTCTGCTTCGCTACCTTACAACTAAACGTACATGTTTTCAGTTCTGTATTGAGCATTTAGGCATTTACGTGTGATTTCAGCATCTGATATTTAGCAAGGGTTCTGTATATTCTCAAACTGTCACTTCAACAAGGATGAAACTCTTCTCCGAATAATTAACCATGTAATTACTATAAGCCATTTTGTGAATAAGAAACAGTAATCGGATATATTAATCCATCGATTGTATTTGGGAGGCTTGTTGCATAAAGTTTAATGTCGTCATTCTTATCTAGTGATTTTTCTTACTGGTTTATGGACAATACTGTCTTTTTTTATTAAACTTTAGAACTAGCGTAAATTGACCGAGTCTTTGTTTTTGCTTTGAAGTTATTCCTGTGTGGGTCCAAGAATAGAAAGATATCATCGAGAGAAAATATATGGACCTTAATCTCCATTTGACTCAGACTAGCTAAATTTTGAAATCTTGCATAGAAACATGAATTGGTACGAATTTTATTTCTCGCCAGTATATTACTTTCTGAAACCTATATTATAGATCAAATCTGTTTCTATTTCTTCTATTCAATACAAGACTTTTAAACCCATGGTATAAATGTAACAATGAAATTGTGCTATCGTTGAAAAAGAAATTCTTTGAAATACTTCCTAGAAATAAGTGGAAATTACTTGAGGATCCACTTCAAATGACTAGGAGTGTTACATTATAATGGTTTTTCTGCAGAGCATTTCAGTTCTGAAATAGCCCGTTCTGAGTATCAGGTGGTTTGAAGATAGTAAGAAGCGCCTTATGAAGATTACACCTTTCTTCTTGGCATCAAATAAAATGTACTGGTATGTTTAGTCTCTTAACCTTCAGACCATCTCACATAATTAGTCGACAAATATTTGTCAGCAGCTGGGAACAAATAATGCAACAATGATCGGGTTCAATTGAATAGATCAATGTATATTTCTTTTCTGGTACATACTTTATTAGCTTTAATTTGAATGTTTGATAGTTAAAAGTCTTAGTATCTGCTTTGTTTCCGCTTTTATTCACAGATTTATAAAAGGGAATAATGAAATATGCTACAACTTAGAACAGCTATTCAACGCCTTGTATTTATTCTACTAATGTTGAATTAGTAAGCATTTACTGTGAATGATAGCTTCCTGCTGAGGATCGTAGGTTTATGTGGTGACCTTAAGGGATAAAGTAGTATATGAAGATGGATCCTCCGTTCTTTGGTATGACAATTTTTAGGTTTATTAGGCATTACATCTCATTTTGACATTGTGCCTACCCGATTACACATATTCGACTTGATTGGTTCTACTCCAATTACACTTAATATACAATTAAAGAAATAATTGCGGCACAGAAATTCAGATGAACATTGTGTTATTTTTTGCTAAACAGATGTTCACATTTCAAAGTAAGCATAAAAGGGTTGCAGTGGACTTAAGTTTTCGTTATTTCTACCATACAAACAGTTTTTGCGATAGAAATTAAACCTAAGTAAACATTTAAGATTACTTGTAATACAAAGAGGAGACAAAATACAATTAAATGACTACTCATCTAGACTTAATCGATGACAGTTTATGTATCACCAGATAAAAAGCCTAGATAAAAGGTAACTACACCGTAGTCGGTAAACAACAAGTTGAGGAAGAACCAAGGTTATCCGGGCACATGAATCGTTTTGACGACAGTTCATGATTATTATAACTATGCTTATTACAATTTGACCTTTGGGTTCCTAGTGGAATAAAGAGCTTCAGTAACACGTATCCACTTCACTCTGTTCTCTCAAGTATTCTCAACATGGCTCCACGACTACCCAGAAGCTTTCATTTCTTCCTCACGTGATCTCCTACATGTCATCCTCGCAATGAACGCCCGACTCGTCGTTTCCACTTTGAATTCCACTCGAGGATCTGACCTGGTGCGTGATGTCCCAAATGGTCTTCTCAGTGTATACCCAATCCACTTCGACTTACTTCTGCATAATTGTTGGGCGATGGGTTCTTGGTTGGTTCTTTGCAGGCAGGCAGGCAGGCAGCCAGAGTTCCTTGTTGCTTATTCTTATTATCATGGCCATCTGATCTCATCTTCAGTATCGAGTGAGCGTAGGCGGCAGCTGTTGATGTATGTGTGCAGTTTGTTGGAGATGCTTTTCGTGACGCGCCAAGTCTCTGAAACATCATATTGAAGCACTGACTTGACTGACATTAGTGTTGAAAATCCGGATGTTGTTCACGCTTTATGCTGAGTGGAGTGCAGTGGAGTAGATCTCCACACTGATTTCATATTAATGAAGGAAGGCATATCTTGGTGTCCTTCGGATGCTGGCTTCGACATCCTCATCTGTGCCAGTGTAGTGTGTAGTTGAATTGATGCTGCCCATGTAGGCGGGTGAAAGAGACAGCTTCCTTTGGTTTTCTCCCATTGATGGTGATTGGTGCTTGTTGTTGTCATTGTTTGGGTATGTTCATCACCTCTGTTTTGTCTACGTTCCCCTGGAGTCAGTTTCGTCTTCGCTGCCTCGCCTCTCCTGTCAACTTGTTAGTTTTCGACTGTAGATCTTTCAGTTTGTACGACATTGGACATAAGTCTTCATCGGCTAAATCCGAATCCTCCTTCTTCTAGAGTCTTTTCATTGGTCAAACATTGTATGCCCCTCTTCTCGCTGCTCACAGTTTGTTGCATGATCCAGTCCAGTCGACCACAATCAGGAAGATCATCGGTGATGATAATAGGTGGCAGTGTTGTCTTGTCTTACTTCTGTCTTCACTTCAAAGGCATCACTGTTGTTTCCATTGTGAATTAGTTGGCATGTAGCATCATATAGTATGGCATATAGCTGTTGAATGAGGTTGATAAATATTTGTGGCACTGAAAGCGTAGTGTTGAGCTAGCTGCCTGCCAAATTACTTCGTTGTTGACGGTATTGAGGGCCTTTTCGAAGTGGATGAAGTTGAGGTAAAGATCAGGTTGACTTGGATTCTATGCTGTGTTCTATGAAGATGCGTAGCGTTGTAATTTGACCCGCACATGATTTATTTTTCCTGATTGATACTGGTTGATGGCTGGACGTCAAACGAAAACATTTGTCGCTGTTGTATTTTAATGAGCAGCTTACGGATTACCAGCTCAATGCTCTGCCTTCTAAGATAAGATACCCATCTGTTGACCAGGACAGTACTTTACTTCAGTCGTTATAAATTTTTCCTGGCTTTCTTGAAAATCTGTGACACTTAGGTGTCCGCATTCCATCTATCTTTTTCAGTGAAACCACCAGGCTAGGAGATTCTCTATCGTTATGCACTATGATAAGTGTTAGCTGGATGTAGAAAGTCAACGGGAAGCCTTGAAACTGGGTCGCAAGCTTGGTGGCACTTGCCAGGACTTGGTGGCGGGGGTTTAGAACCTCACTCGTGGGACCTGTTTTCTTGAAGTTACAGATACACCCTGCTAACTGGTATGAAAAAGCAGGAGACGTTATTTCAGGTATTCTTGTCAAACTAACTAACTTTTTAAGTAACTGATTGATCATCATGATCGCAGTAGCTACATAGACGGGTCTTCTCGTTTCAATCCGAATATCATTGGAAAAAGGAAGGGTAGTGATTTCGTTAAGAGAATGTTGATATTTAATATTGTAAGGAGTGGACAAGAATCCTATCTTCTCAGTACATGAGTTCCAAAAAGCATTTTTAAAGATAGTTTTTGTCACAGAATTCTTCCAACAAAAGGAGTTCTCGAAGACTGGTGGTATTGATACGATGATGTCTTCTCGAAATCTGATGTTTCATAGTGTACGACATTAATGCCATACATTTAGATCATTTAGTGATTACATCATGATCGTGTCGTTCACATATAGAATTCAACACACCATCTTTTACTTTGGTGAAAATTTTTAGATATTATTTAAACTGGATTTACGTGAAAAATCTCAGTTTTGGTAATAATAAGCTCATTTCCTTTATACGGTTTTGACTAAAAACTAACCAACTATTTTATGTTCCCACACATAGTTTATGAAGAAACTGCTGCAGTATATTATAATCGAAATGTTGCAATTGACGACTGATAAAATGTAAGCATGTTATTTATTAGACGGTGTTGTATATTAAAGGTGAGGAATTGTAGTGGATGCATGAGAGGAGCTAACCTAAAGTGCTGATACTGTATTCTACAGAAAATATGAATATTTCCTACCTCTAAGGCAGTTCTTGTAAAGTGTTCTTCTAGTTTATACTTTAAAGAAGTATAACTTCTACCTATCTTATTTTAATGCCTTGCGTACTTAGGATTATTAATTATCATCTAGGAAATATGTATTATGGCTTATAAAATGTTTTTCTCTCTTATTTCCTTGGTTCATATCACAGAATTCGAAACTTCCATTCTCACTTCCAATATTTCTACTAGCCTGGATAACTCGAGAATTGTTGGTTTTTGTTGTGTTTATCAAAGCACTATCAAATCCCTGGTGTATTAAATGGGGTAACTATTATTATCGCGTATATTTAGGTGGATTAACTCAACGTCTACCAAGTAATAATTCTACTTCCACCTCTTTTGTCAAGAATATTCTATTTATGAAGAACACAAACTTTAACCATGAACCATTAAAATGGATAAAGAAAATATTTGAAAAGCGTATATCAACAGAAAAAAATGCTCAAAACGAGGCAAACAATCTTTTAAATTCATTTTATTCGAATGAAGCAGAAGAAAATGACTATAACTGCTCAAATAAAGAAGTATTCAGTAATAATTCATACAATCCTAATTCATCATCGAAGCAACAGTTCACTCCAGTGATAATTGATTCAAAAGATCATTCATCTTCATCGATGGCAGGTTTATCATGTTTTATGAATAAAAGTGACATCGATAAGATTGTTAATAATCATGTTGGTAACAAAAACATCAGAAAAACTATGATTAGTGTTAATACTTCTAGAGTGAATTATGATGAAAGTAATCTGAACGATTTTATTGCCAACAGCTCTAGAAATACAGCGAGTAGGAAAATCACTGAGACTATTGAAAACAAATTCGCAAGTGATATGCACATCAATACTACCGATGCTGATAGCAGCAGTAGTACCGGTCTTCTTAATGCTTTTGTCAGCAGTATATCAGGCTTTTAAAAATATCTTCTTTTCAAAACTTGTGTCATGATTCACTAGTAAAGTAAAACCTGATACAAATTATAAAACTTATTGAAAATACCGCGTCTGTGTTTTTAATGTTCTGGTACGAGAATGCTGTGAATCCAAAATGTGATAATCAAATTTACACACACACACACACACATACAGCTAGGCAATACACTATGTCTACTTATTACCAAAATTCAAGTCAGGTTCTATCTTAAATAAACTAGCTCATTAAGGATAAATTTCTCTTGTGCATCTTTCCATTTACAATATTTTGATGACATTATTGTTAGTGACTATACTGTACTAATCGCCTCTTCCTATCGTTTTTTTCCGGTAAGTAACAGATATTTTTATTTAAAAAACACTTACTTTTTAATTTTATAAATGGATAACTTTCCCTCGTATATTTTTTCTTTATGTTTGAATTTCTTCATAAATAGAGATGTTTTTCACTTCTGGTATGTTTGAAAAATTCTCAGACATGAAAAGAAAATATTGTATGTTGATCATCTAGTTCTAGAGGTATTTCTTTCCAAGAAACCTACACACTTTCAGATATATCATCCCACTCAGGACAAAAAAAATGTGATATCTATTTGAATGCTAGAATGTTTTATTCTTCGCTGTACAGGTTTGTCTCTCTGTTTAGTTGCATCTTTATTTAGCGCTGTTTGTGCCTGTCGATATACCCAACAGCATGTATATACGTTAATTCACGATGCCACTACATATTCTGGGAAATAATATGATATATTCGATTATATCTGTTCTTTTTTAATTTTCTCAAAAAAAATGAATAAATTCAAAAGTAAACAGTTAAAACAGTAACGAAGTGCATTTTTTTTGTAGACTCGACCACACATATGCAAATTCATACCTGAATAAATCATATTCTGTGTATAAGCTTTTTTCAGTTTCAGAAAATAGTAATTACTCTCCATTTTTATGATTTAGAATCCCTTTTGAATATCATTCCTACTACACATCACAATATTTATTCAATCGGCTGGGAGCAAAAATCAATCATCTATTACCGATACTACTTCGACACATAACATCTATCATTTTTACTGTATAATATGATTGTTAGTAATTTTTATTATCTACTTTCAAAGTTGATGTGCAATAATATGATGAAATAAAGGAAATTGTTGTCAATTTTGATTTTATTTTGTATATATTGTTCCACAGTAGTCGACTCAAAGTTTACCAGTTTACCTCTTACACTCATTTTTGGTACCAAGCCTACAATGTAGAATTTAATTATAACATTTATGGGTGTTATCTACACTCCTTTTTTTTATTGTAGTGTGTGTGTGCAATTAATTCATTCATTTAAGTACCCGATATCTTATCCTGGAAACTGAAATGATCATTTGTTTATCTTTTTTTACTTGGATTTTCCTTCGTTTTTATTTATTTGGCCAGTTTTTGTTTCTTCTTTTCGATATATAATTTGGTTCCTTGTGTATGTTTTGATTTTTGTTACTATCACCAAATATCACAGAAATGAACAATCATAATATTTACTTAACCAACTGTTTACTCATAAATTCAGTGCCAAAAACACAAATAATCATGTACAAAAGCTGGTATAAAGCACGCAACGTAAAACAATGTAGTCTAATCTATTTACTATTTATTTTGTTTTGCTAACTTTTACTTCTTACCAGTGTTTTTGTTGTTGCTATAATTACCACTTGTAGTAATATCATTATAATCAAGGCTGTAATTATTGCTACTAATTGTGTTATTTAGTATGGTCAGTGTTTGATTCATCTGTATATGAAGAAAGTAACATTCATACCATTATATTGTCTTAACTTATGAACCGGTGAACCTTACGAACATTTACTAAATTGAATGTGAAAATGATGATTGTTCTAAAGGCAGCAGATTTTTAGTATTTAGTATATCCTTGATGCGATTAACAAACACATGTAAGGCTGAGCTAAAACATTTGGTTGATTCACTTTTTGAATAAAAGGTTTTTAATATTCGATAAAGAAGCACTACTTGAGCTTCAACCTACAGTAACGATAGTAACATACTGAGTATGCCTAAGGTATTAATTACTCGTTTATAACTCAAAACTGAGGAACACTTTCATCTAGATTTCTTATTCAGAGCAATAAACACTAACTTAGTACAAGAAGCCAGCAGTCAAGACACAAGATACTGTACACTTAGCTTTTGTACATGTTTTCACTCACTTGATCGTATTCACTATGGCTGCTCAACCGCCACTTTTCATCTCAATCCATAAGAATTGGAGAGAGGGCGCATCATTCTGATTGTCAGTTTGACTATGCGAGATAGTCATGGTTTGGTGGACTTTCATTGATACCAAGTAAGGATTGAAGTGAAATTAAAACATATTCAACAGTTGGGTCTCGTAGCTTAGTTGGTAGAGCACCAAGGAGGTAACCAGAAAGTGTCTAGTTTGCCTAGTTCTGCGGCTCAAATTTTCATTTCACCCTTAATCACAATCCAGTATCTGCAACTTTGAGGGAACTAACGTTTCCACGAAAATTTCGACTTACATTCCCAACATTATCATTATTATTTATTTGTCCCTCGGTTTCCTAGTGGAACATAAGGCCTCAGTAGCACGTCTCCATTTCACTATATTCTTTGGAGTCTTTCTAGCCTGGCACCACGACTGCCCACAAGCTTTCATTTCTTCCTCACATGATCTCCTCCATGTCGTCCTCGGACAGCCCTTACTATTTGTGACGTTAAAACACTAACAGCCATAATATCCAGTGGCTCACCTTGGTGACTGCATTGTACATCTCGTTCAAAAACTTAGATTAGCCATTGTAACTAAAACGCTACAGTGGTTCTCTAGCATGAGGTGACAGACTGTGTGCTACTGAGCAGCTCATATCGCATTGGTAGGATCTGAGGCACATAAGAATATTCAGCTGGCCATCCTTTATTCATCAAAGGTACCGGGAGACATATCTCACCTTAAAGTTGGTTTCATTCAAGTTGTTTATACATTATTTGCCTCATATGCGTTATCAGTGAGTTAGTATTCATATCAGCCTGATTAAAAATACTGAGATGCCAATATGCTAGTGATTTGAAACGTGAAACTCTCAGGTTTGGTTGGTTGTATCTAACTGCTCCTTGATATGAGATTATTTCTTAAATTCTCCTGCAAATTCGTATTATCCTGGCCATCTGATCTCATCTTCAGTATCGAGTGAGCGTAGGCGGCAGCTGTTGATGTATGTGTGCAGTTTGTTGGAGATGCTTTTCGTGACGCGCCAAGTCTCTGAAACATCATATTGAAGCACTGACTTGACTGACATTAGTGTTGAAAATCCGGATGTTGTTCATGCTTTGTGCTGAGTTGAGTGCAGTGGAGTAGATCTCCACACTGATTTCATATTAATGAAGGAAGGCATATCTTGGTGTCCTTCGGATGCTGGCTTCGACATCCTCATCTGTGCCAGTGTAGTGTGTAGTTGAATTGATGCTGCCCATGTAGGCGGGTGAAAGAGACAGCTTCCTTTGGTTTTCTCCCATTGATGGTGATTGGTCCTTGTTGTTGTTGTTGTTGTTCTTGTGGTTGTCATTGTTTGGGTATGTTCATCACCTCTGTTTTGTCTACGTTCCCCTGGAGTCAGTTTCGTCTTCGCTGCCTCGCCTCTCCTGTCAACTTGTTAGTTTTCGACTGTAGATCTTTCAGTTTGTACGACATTGGACATAAGTCTTCATCGGCTAAATCCGAATCCTCCTTCTTCTAGAGTCTTTTCATTGGTCAAACATTGTATGCCCCTCTTCTCGCTGCTCACAGTTTGTTGCATGATCCAGTCCAGTCGACCACAATCAGGAAGATCATCGGTGATGATAATAGGTGGCAGTGTTGTCTTGTCTTACTTCTGTCTTCACTTCAAAGGCATCACTGTTGTTTCCATTGTGAATTAGTTGGCATGTAGCATCATATAGTATGGCATATAGCTGTTGAATGAGGTTGATAAATATTTGTGGCACTGAAAGCGTAGTGTTGAGCTAGCTGCCTGCCAAATTACTTCGTTGTTGACGGTATTGAGGGCCTTTTCGAAGTGGATGAAGTTGAGGTAAAGATCAGGTTGACTTGGATTCTATGCTGTGTTCTATGAAGATGCGTAGCGTTGTATTTTTTTCCTGAAGCTAGCCAGCCAACCTGTTCCGGTCGTTATTTTGAATACAGAGCATTCTTTGGTCTCGTCAGGATGATGCGCCTTAATATTTTGATTGGGGTAGACAGCTACATGATTGCTCGTTAGTTCTTGCAAAGACTTTAGCCTCTTTTCTTTGTAAGCTTGATCAAGTAGCTCTTCTTCCAATTGGCGGGCATTTTTCCTTCTCTCCTCCTAACCTTCTGCAGTAGTAGTGTGAGCATATCTGCTGTTGTCCTGTGTCTGTTTTCAGTGCTTCTGGAGGAATTTCATTTGGTCCTGCTACTCTCACCGATTTCAACAGGTTTATGGAGTTTAGGACTTCACTTCTGCCTTTGTCGGAGGGCTTGTGTTCACTGGTAATTCCGTGGGGTTGGCTGCTGATGGTATTTCTCGATGAGTTGCAGGTGGTGGTAGTGGTGGTAATAGCGGTCGATTCAAGAGATTCGAAGTGATCAGCTTATCGTTTCTTTGTTTCTTCCCTTCACCAACTAGGCTTCATTTACTATCTTTCAATGGTATCATCTGTGTTGATCCCTTCCGTACCAGACAGTAACCTGGTTATTTGATATGACATTGTCAGTTCTCTCTTACCTGCAACCTGTTGTGCTTCACCTGCCATTGTGTAGTGAAAGTGTCATTTGTCTTTGCATGCACTCTTCCTCACTTGTTTGTCGCGTTTTCTACGTTGCACTCAGTTCCTCTTATCGTTGTTCACCCTCGCGTAGGTTTCCTCAGGGATGCTGCTCAATGTCTCCATTTTGTTCTGACGACTGACATGTAGATGTCCTTCATAGTTTTGTCCTTCAGTTCAGATTCTGTTCTGGGTCGTGAACTTGAGGTGCAGGCTATCACCACCCGCTTGTTTGAAAGCTTTCAACTTGATTTTGAAGTTAGGTTCCTTGCACTGGATAGTGGTCTCAACCTTCCTACATCTGCTCCTCTTCTTAATCTGAACTTGTATCCAGTAAACTGCATCTCCACTTTCTTCACATTGAGATGAAGTCGATTTGATTTTTAGTGTGCCGATCTGGGGAAATCAAATCTATGTTGCTTTGTGAATATCCTTGTGTTTGTACACACTGCCTGCAATCACCAAATCGTTGAATGAGCAGAAGTTTGCAAACAGGTCTCCATTCTCGTTCATATCACCGACTGCTTCTCGACACATGATTCTTATTTCTATCTGTGTTGTTGGCTCCGAGTTTAGCATTCATGTTATCCCACTCATTAGAATTTTGATGTCACCAGTACTGAGTGCAGTTGTCTGTACGATTCCTCCATCTTCTCTTGTTCTGCGTGTGCATTATTTGTAGGTGCATAGCGTAGCATTATATGATTGTGACTTTGTTTCCTTTTGAGTTGAATCTTGCTGTCATGATCCTGATCCTGCAGGAGGAGATTTGTTCCCACTGCATGAGAGAGAGCCTTCGATGATATTGGGGACATCATGATAACCACTCCAAACTCAGTGTACTCGAAGGCAATCGCCAAGCGGCAGCATTTCATCTCCCTGATTCCAAGAAGGAATAAATTTATTTTTTATATTTTGTCTGTGCTTTAAAATTTCTTTTGTGATTGGATTGGTTTTACGGGGTAGGTTTTCTAGCTTCATTCCCAACCTTCCCTCTTTATCCGGGCTTGGGAACGGCTAGTGAGATAGTAAACTAAGCGCGGTTTACTCTGAATTTAAAAAAAATTTTTATGTAAGCTATTCTTTGTTTTTATCCGGATACATACCACCATCTACTCTACTGGTTGACTTTAATTTCTCATGGTTTGTTGTTTCGTGCCAAATTATCTTAGTCACTCAAACAAAGTAGTCGACATCCAGAAGTTTATTCAATTTTATTCCAATACTGAGGAATTTCAAGAAGTTTTTTTTTGATTTAAATTACTAAGGCTACTTATATTCTGCTGCACTTATAGTATACTGATATGTTAAGGATGTATTTCCCATGAGTTATCTTTGTATCACATGAAAGCAAGTTTCTTCTGATGGTTCCCGTATTTACTGAATGCTTTGCTGCATAGTATTATCTAAATAGTGTCTAAAACACACCTCACATTTTCCTGTTTCATAGTGGATAAGTCTAACCTGTATCAAGCAATCCAATAACACTCTACAATAACCCACCGCCATATGACTGATCCCTAGTGAAACAAAAACTGCTTCCTTTGTACTTCCATCAATGCAATAACGAGAGACACAGATTACAATGTCGTAGCTAGGATTATTTGGAAAAATACCTTTCAAAAGAAAGTGATGGAACCCTAGTCTAGATTTTATTCATTAAGCATGGAAGAAAGGCATTTGGAGAAGAAACTTACCAATTTAGTCACTATAGCAGCTATATATACAGTGGTGTATAAAAAAAGAGTGAATGTTCTATAACAAACACCAGTCAGCAGCCAAATATTTTAGGCTGCTGAAACATGTAGTGACAATGGTCAGCAAAATAAACAAATGATTGGTAAGTACTTGATGCTTATTTTTGAGTTGATTAATCTAGATCTCAGGTTAAGAAATGTCTGACAGGTTGATAGTTTTTCTGGTCAACACAGTGGTAGTTTGGATTTACGTTACGCCTCAGATGAAAAATCTCCATAAAATAACAAAAGTAGAAACTTCTCAAAATAAAATGAAAAGTATGATATACCTAAGTAGAATCTTTTTCAACAAACATTTTTAACGA